TTACATATGAAATTGAACGAGTCAGTAAATTTCATTGTTTGGTTGATGAAGGGGATAGAAGCTCCTGCCAAAATCTGGTTCGGAAAAATTGGTTCAAGAATTTAATGTGCAAAATATTTTTAAATGAAAATTTTAAAGAATTTTAAGGTCTGAATTTTTCATTCTTTTATTTAATTTATGCTAATTATTAAAATTTAATAGTAGATTTCTGTATATGTCGAATTTCCTTCTAGCAGTTTAATGTTAATTAGGATGCTTCATGACTAAACAAACAAAATTGCTTTAATAATTCATCATTCTATAATAATTAGCACCAGACTCACGATATTTATATATTTGGTTGTGATTGAAAATAAACTTTATAAAATTATCTTCGTAATATTGCACATGTATCTTTGCGTTGCTTCCACTCTCTTACATTTTCTGGCAATAAACGGCAGCAACGTCGCTAAGCTGAGCTGGTTTGCATGTTACATAGACTTTGATAAGAACATGATTCCTGACTTCGCCCCTAGACATCATTCAGTCTGAACTTCGTTGTTTTAGACTTTTCCTTACTTTAAATGTGTTGTTTAAGTGACTTTTAGGCGTTATTAGGTTCGGATAACTGTAAGATCTTGATTATGCTTACTCTTTTGTCCAATAAAGCATGGTATCAGCACTAATTAATATTTTCACACCAGTTACTTAAGTAGCAACATTAAAAAAATCATATGAAGAAAAGGAATAATATTTATCGCTCTGAATGTTGTTGCGCGAAGCTTTGTACAATCGTCTCGATCTGCTCTTCCGAATCTCCTGGAAAATTTTGACATTAAAAGGCATAAGTGATCTGCAGTACAATTGCGTACTTGCGTGGATGGCACTTAACAAGGTTCCAATTCCACGAAAAACTGAAATTCTCTTCAGAAACTGTTTCTGCAATTGATGGTTGACGTTATTCGAGACGTTCCCCCTAACCGCATGGTTACTTCGATGACTAGGAAAGCTATAATGTCACAAACTTCTGCCTGTTCTGTGCTGCTGATGCGTGTGATCGGGCAACAATGCACATCGAAGAATGGCGTAGTCTTTCTCCCGATGTCTGGAGCCAGCGACAGGTCCCAGAATAAGTGATTAGAAGCAATAAGTAGCCCAAAATATGAACTATACTGCTTGCAGTTCGAGGATAGCTGAGAGTCTGTCATCAGCCTGAATAGGTTGTCGAAATATTGTTCCTTAATAAATAGTTTCCACTTTGTCCTCAACGCATTTGTCCATTAAGCAGTGCAAATAAATTTTTAGCGTTGATGAAAAACCTTTTGTTTGTTGCGTGTCGTTAGCAAGAAATTTGGATTCAAAGGTCAGTTAGCAGCAAAATGGGGGAAAAATGTTCCTGACTGACAGTATTTTCGATAATATTGAAAATCGCGTGAAAATTTCGAATTTGCTATGCTTTACAGTGATTGCATGTTCCATCAGAATTTCCGTGTCACATAAGCAGTTTAGTCACATTTCAGTCCTCTCTATGAGCTTTCGGATATGATGAGGAGAAACGTAGTTAGAAAGTCAACTTCCATCCCAGCTTAGTAGCTCAGCCAATTTTTGATAATGGAAAATACATACTTTTTAGCTTGATGCACAAGTTGAATTTTTAATATGCTGCTGCATAAATTTATTTAGATAGCCATGAACCCGTTGCTCATTATAACAATTCCGCTTGGTCTGACTGCACCCATTACATGTTTACAGTTTTAGGTTATTCTCTACTGCTGCATGCTAAGCGACAGATACGACCAGAAGCCTTTGATTGGAGCTTTGTTGTATTTGCGGGATGGACGTCTACACAAAGTTAGCGTGGAGCGTCGAGACCTCAGTGGTATAACCATTTCACTGCCTATTAATGACTTTCATTTGTTCTATCTACTAATAAGCTGAACTGCTACCAGGGTGTGTGAATTTATGCACATTTAAGAATATATCTACATATCAAAGCATTCACTGATGACATGAAGTTCTTCAAGCTTCGGACCATTGGTATTCGAGATGCATCCGTTTGTGAGCCGTTCCTTCCTAAGATCGAGAGATCGCAATTGCGATGGTTTTGACGCGTGATCAGACGAGATTCGCAATGCGCGTCCTATTGACCAAACCATATAAGAGATGGCCAAAGGGGTAAGACGAAGATCACATCGCTTGATTATATCTGATTAATGGCTTCTTCGCGCCTTTGAATTCAGACCACGGAGTTTGTCCATTTGGCGGAGCATCGGAACATTTCATTAAACCTGTTGCCACTGCGAGCTGAAGAAATAGCAGACTTGAAAAATGAATGATAGAATATGTATTTATTTTCCTCCCAGCCAAAATTTCGGTCAAATAGCATTCGATGTTGTCACGTATAACCGTAGAACCACGGGTCTAAAAGCTTATATATAACCTTGGTGTTCTGAGATAAGTACCATGAATGGCAGCTTTTCTGTTCCCAGGTAAATATTATATATTGTAATTACTGATATCAGACTTACTCGACGAAAACGTACCGCTTCTTTGCTTCTTGTCACTTAGGGAGACCATTAAGGTAGGTTATGGCTCCGTTGTATTTTAACACTTGCAGCCATCGGATGCCAGATCATGTCTCGGAGATGTGCTAAAGAAAGGCATGGACTCATAGAAAGAAACACCTATAAACTTTTTCACTCTTCAGTTTAACTCAGAGATGCTGTCTTGCATCGGATGGGTTGCAGGCATTTTAATACCATGGAACGCAAGCTTTGAAGCTAAAAATTTCCGCTAGACTGACTAAGCTAGAATACGACTCTATTCTTTTTGTGTATTGCTTTCTGTAATAAGGTGCTCGAATCTATTCTTGAAGTTCGTCCTGATCCTGCATCTCGTAACTATGGCCAGTTTGAATTAAGAATGTGAGCCATGAACACTCAGAAACAGAGATATTAGATTTGAAAC